TTTTTTGACTGTATATCAAATTGATATTTGAAAATATAATAAAATAGTCAATAGCAATTTATCAGTAGGTAATATCGGTATTTAGACAGTTTTCATTTTTCTGAAGTGCTGATCCCGTATCGCTGAAGTTGTTGATCCCAAAATCTAAAGCAATATATAGGTTAAGTTCAAGGTCCCACGACACAATCTCGCCAGCTCTTTGTATCAAAAAACATTTTTAGGCAACGATTATGGTGAAGAAGAAGGTAAAGCGAACGATATATAGTATCATTCGTGAATCACACCTTAACTGTACATTACAGCTGGTGCAGTAAATAAGAAAAAAATTAAAAATTAAATAAAGAGAAATTGCGACCGATAAGAGTTCGTTAAACGCTAATAATAATACAAAATAAATACGCAGATTGCTGACAAAAAAGAAAAAAGAAGAAGAAAGTTACTTGGGGTAAAAATAAAAAAATCATATGCAAAATTTACTAAGGCGAGACAATTTTGCAAGATATAACGCATAATAAAACTATAGAAAAAATTCGGCAAAGTGCGCAAATAAATAACATATAAATGTGCGTGACTGTGTGTGTGTGTGTGTGTGCGGGCAATGAACGTACCAAAAAAAAAAAAAAAAAGGAATGAAAGAAAAGAAAGCAATAACAAAAATGTTATCAGCGCAGCCAAAACGAGCTGTACAACAAAGCAGACACACACACACATATACATGTACGCATGCACACAGAACACACACACGCATACATATGCGCACAGGCGAACGCCAAGCTGCGTGCGTTCAGTTTTCAAGGTTAAGAGCAAGTGCGTATGCATGAGTATGTAAGTGAGTGTGCGTGTGCGTGTCTCGCTGCCAGCGACACTCATAGAAGAGAGGCAGAAACGATAGCAGAAGAGGAAGAATAGCAACGAACGACGGCAAACAGCAACAACGACAGTAGTCGCACGCACAATGGCCGCTCACACATAATTAGAACAAAAAAAAAAAAAAAATGTGTGTGAGCGTGTATATTGCAAATGTTTATGGCACATGCCATAAAATAAAATAGCGCACTTTTTGCGCTCGATATGCGCACATATATATCAAATAGAAGAATCATCATGATTAAAGCGGATCTGTGTTAGGCCTATTAGCTTTATCTGCCTGCTGGCCACATGTGGTGCGCCATATATTTTTTGGAAGATATTTTTTTTATTTGGCTTTCACGCACCAAAAGCTGAAGAACAGCTGACACATTTTATAGGCCTCTTGTTTTTTTGGTTTAGCTTCCTGATATAGCGGCTCACACACACACACATACATGCACGTACGCATTGCGTATACGCTGCGCTCTCTTTTACTGTTGCTGTTGCTGTTGCTGTTGCTCTCTATTGTCGAGTTTAATGACTGATAAGCTTTAACAGCCGCCATATGAGCTCAAAGCTCAAAGACACACGCACAAATATTTGTGGCCCATTGGCAAACTGTATGTGCCTTTGTTTAATAAAATATATACATATATGAACATATTTTATTCAAATGCTGAGCAACTTCTAGATTTTGGCAACGCATGCCGGAAATGTTATGATTCCTTAAAAAATCAAAACGTAACCAAACTTAAAAACGTGTCAGACAGCTACAAGCTACCCTGAAGAAAAAAACCAAATCGTATGTTAATTTTTAATATTTAAATGAGCCACAACATACTAACATAGTTTGGGCATATTAACATGTGTATCCCATCATAGCTTCAACCCAGCAATATAACAATTAAAACGCTTTTCGCTCAGTGTTGTCGTCTAAAGCTTAATTTCTATCACCAAGTCAACTTTTTTGACTAGACACTTAAATTGCTTAGGTTTCATTATTATTCATTTTTGTGTTCTTGGTTAAGCCTCATAAAAGCTTTTGTTGCTTTAATCGGTTAAGAGTTTACGACTTGGCTACACGACTACGCTATCAATGACTGATTACAGAGCGCGCTTAACAGCTGGCCCATTACATTACATTTCATGCGGCTAAAGAGCATAACTCTTAAGCTGCTTGTAAGCTTACATCAAAGAGAGCGGGAGACGCATTGAGAGAGAGTGTGAGCTAAACACGCACGTGCAATTGGCTGACGGCGCAGCAGCAACAGCGCACACCGCTTTGGAGCTGCAAGAGAGAGAGAGAGAGAGAGAGAACGGCACTGTTAAAATTGTCATTCATGCACGGGCGCGCGCGCTCTCACTGACGCTGACTGCGGCGCTTCATAGCAGCAGCAGCAGCAGCCGACGCAGTCGAAACAACGTTTAACGGTGATCAGTATGAGATCGAAATCGGCCGCAGTTGGTTGTACGTAATGTGCGTCGTGTTGCTTGTTGTCGTAGTCGTAGTCGCCGTTCAGCTTTCAATTCCAATTCAGTTAGTCGATCGCCGTCGTCGCCGCCAGAGTAGCAGCAGCAGCAGTAACGACAATATGCACTTCTAAATATCAACAACAAAAATAAAGGTCTTTTTACATATTTTCGTTGCGTTTCATCTCGTTTTTCGGTTTCGCGTGTTCTGTGTGTGTGTGCTCCAGTGCGTTGTTGCTAAGAGTGTTTTTTTCCTGCCCAAAATGATTCAAAATCAAACAAATGCAACACGTAAATAAGAAAGAAGTGAGATAAAAAAGTCCTCTCGCAACGTGCTTGCTGTGTATGCGCGCGCGTGTTCTGTGTTTATATATGCATACATATATATGTAAATATGTCTGTGTGTTTGTAAAGCGCAGCTGATTTTTAAATACGAAATTTTTAATAACGCTCAACTCGTCGTCTCCCTGTCATCTCCCCCACATCTGCCCCGCCCCCAGCAAAGCAACTTGCCTGCAATTCTACAACGTACGAGATTTGCCGTCAATTCGCTTCGCCGCTTTTTTTGGGTGCGTGTTGCTGTTGTTGTTTTTCTGTGTTCTGTTCTCGCTTGTTGTTTTTGCTATGTTTACATTTTATTTCACACTCACACACACGCACACACCTACACTTAGAATGTAAACTGACATTTCGCTCTGGCGCTTTGTTTCGCGCGGGCTTATTGACAAATTGTAACTAAAGCAAAGACCGAGACGCCGTCGCTGCATCTCTGCACTCTCGCGCTCTCTCTCTATCTACCCCTCTCTATCTCACTCATTTATAGGCGAAGGCTCTCTTAGACAACAATTTCATTTCATTTATTAGGTTTGATTTTCTGCGATTTTCGCCCAAAAGTTTTTTTGTCTGATTATTTTGCGAGTGCTAAAAATAAATATATCAACAATTGTGAACAAAGAACAAACAACAAAAATTATTGAACGCAATTTTATAGACATTTCTTTCACATACACATTCACTTACTTTTTATACAATTTTGTTAGCTCAAGTCTCAAGTGCAGCGGGCAAAAAATAAAGAGTCCGGAAATTAATAAGAAAACAAACAAGAAAACTAGCTAAATAAATGTAAATAAGAAAGCTTTAGATTTTTGTTTCAAAGTTTTCACACTTATACATTGAATAAATATATAAAATAGTCTACTAACTTATTACTTAAAGTAAATAATATTGAAATAACTATTTATTGTGAAATACAGTGAAATCTTGATATCAAAGACTGTTTTAGTTCGTGTAAAATTAAAATTTGTAAATTAGCAATAATAAAACGAAGAAAATAATTTCTTTTTACCTAAACTGACAATTATTAAAAACTTAAATCAATAATATTTAATTAATAGTTTAAATTTGTTAATGTATATAATATGTTTATATTAAAGCTGTCGTTTTTTAAAGTAAAGTGAAGAAATTATTTTAATATTTATAAAAATATATCCTTTATTCAAAAACATAAAGAAAAAGATAAAAAATATTAAAGAATTTTTGTTTTTAATTTCAAAATAGGCATAATTTTTTAACTCAGTTTAATAAAAAAAAAAAATTCTTCATTATAAATTTTGTATAAAAATATTTTAAACTTCACAAATGGCTTTTTTAATCAACTAAAAGCCTCATTTTAATTTTTATCAATTTGTTATAATCTTTTTTCTTTCCTTCATCTCTTTGCAGCACGCAAATTATGAAATGAATACAACAAAAATTATTGAATAATCCGGTGAAATATGTTGAATGCGTAAAACGTGTTTTTGAAACAGTTTTACATTTACTAAATATATAAGGAGTAAAAACCAACTGAAGTTTAAATCGTAATCAAAGAAACGGCAACAACACCATCAGCAACAGCAATAACAATAACAGTAACAACAACAACAACAACAACAACAACAACATCACAAAAAGGTGATAATGATTATTTCCAAGGATCTTTTCATATTTGGCGAACAAATTTTTGCAACAATTATACCAGAAGGTGGAGTCGCTCTTGCCACGCAGCAGCAGCAGCAGCAACAACTACAACAGGAGCAGGAGCCACAGCAGCAGCCGGCAATTATAAATACAACAACAACAGCAGCTGAACAAGTTGTTGAGGAGTCATTAAAAGCGGCAGCAGCAACAGCAACAGCAACAACTACAACAGGAGCAGGAGCCACAGCAGCAGCCGGCAATTATAAATACAACAACAACAGCAGCTGAACAAGTTGTTGAGGAGTCATTAAAAGCGGCAGCAGCAACAGCAACAGCAACAACTACAACAGGAGCAGGAGCCACAGCAGCAGCCGGCAATTATAAATACAACAACAACAGCAGCTGAACAAGTTGTTGAGGAGTCATTAAAAGCGGCAGCAGCAACAGCAACAGCCACAGCAGCAACATTGCCAGCAGCAACAACAATAACAGCAGCAGCCCAACAGCAACAACAACAACAGCAACAACTTCCAGCAGCAACAACATCGCTGTTGCTATTGAACAAACCGGAAACAGTTGCAGTTGCTGCTGCCGCTGCCAACAGCAACAACAACAACAACAACAATAGTCTGAAGCGCGGCAACAACAAAATAAAAATTCAAAAAATTCCAACAGCAGCTGAAGCATTGAAAGCCAAGCAGAAGCCACCAACAGCAGCAGCAGCAACAGCAACAGCAACAACTCGATCGTTAACCAAGTGTGAGAAGGTGTTGCTGCCAATGAATTTGTTGGCCCAAAGCATGGACAACGCAACGGATGAAATGGAGCAGTTACCGTTGGTAGCCAGTCGAAGCAATTTGGCCAAAATTGTTGCCGATTGTCGCCTGCAAATCGAACCAACTGTTGCAGCAGCAGCAACAGCATCGACAGCAGCAACAACAACGACAGCAACTGCTGCAGTTGCAGCTAGCAGCAATTGCAACAGCACATCCTCTGCCTCCTCGACCAGCTCCTCATCGACGACCTCAATGGATTTGCCCAGCACGGATAACCTGGCCAAGACTTGCATTTTAGCTGATGCCAAAAGGTAAGTTGACCCAATTTTTGATTTAGGTAAATCTATATACTAGTTAGAAGGAGATGGTGATGCCAGAGAAAGAGACGGCGACAGTTAGAAGCACACACAAGTCCAGCTTAAGTTCTGGCCAAAATGTAAACAGGCCATGAAATTGCAGTCGGCGTTTAATTTCACCTACAAAATTTGGGACACACGCACACACAGACACAGACACAGACACAAAACACATACACAGACACGCATATCACAGCAACTGCTTAAGAATAACAGCAAAACTGCATAAATAAAAGAAGAAGAAAAAAAGAAAATAATAAAAAAAATAAAAACGAAAAAGCAAAACAAGTCAGAACATTTGTGGTTGGGCGTGGACGACTGCGACATACTCTGCTTTGATATCAAATATAAAATTTTAAAATTTGTGATGAAAATATGTGATGTAACAGTGCAAAATTTAAAATCTAAAGTGTTTTATCTACAATATACAATACTTATAGAATGTGCATATAATACATAAAACAATAATCCAAAGAATTGCCTTAGTGAAGACATATTTAAGATTAAGTCAGGCTTGAGTCTGAGATTATTGTAAGCTTAAGTAATTGTCGAAAGATCTGTACGTCTAATCCTTTATATATATATAGGTCCCCATAAAGTACTCGCACTTAAGTCATTATCATAATTATTATGGAGTCATGTGTCCTGCGGCTTTCGCGATATGTGAAAAAATTTGCGTTAATCTGCAGACGTCCACAGTATTTCCTAGTCAGGCACTCCTGACCAGTCTTACTTAAAGGCTAGGTAGTCAAAAGTCTATAAAATAAGTCCCAAATTCAGGGAGCCTTCAGTTAATAGTAAAGAATTGCTTGAATTCCTATATACTCTTTCTGCTTATGCTGGCAGTGTATTAAAAGTGAAGCTAAGAATTTCTGCGCAAGGAGCAGGTTTCTTCGATAAACTGCGACGGCGACGAGTGCGTTTTGTCGCTGCTGGGGGGATTATATCTGTGCAGATATAACGTATATATGCTCATATATATACATTAAGCTGTAGAGTATATATACTTATGGCAGTGACTGTGTCTGAGCTTTATATAATTTCGCTAGCAGCAGCTGCATTTATGATGCCAGGCCAGCCTTTAGGCTGCAAAAGTGAATAAAATTTATACGAAATTCTTCTAGGAAAGCGAATTTTATATACGCATTTACAGTTTAGGAACAACGTTGAAGAGCTCTCCCTTCTTCCACTTGGTTTGCATTCATAAAGGGTTTACTGGCTTCAGATGATGCAGTTCAATTGAAATGATTTTCATTCACACCTCTTGTAGGTTCTATTAGTAAAGCTATATTATGCCTTACATATTCGTAAACGTTTTACTGGCTGCATTGATTTTTCTCGTTTTTTCAGTACTAGACTTCTATTCTATTAGATTTCTATTCATGTGCTGTATTCAGTCTCGTTTTTAAAGTCCTTAGATATATGAAGAACTCTATTCGTTTGTCTTTCTCATATATGTGTATATGCAGAATTTCTCAAAAAGCAAGCCAAAGACACACACACACCCTGACGCACACTCTTTGCTCAGCTTGTTCTTGTGGTCGTGCCTCCCTTTTTGCCGCGTGGCCCGAGCTCCCCTTTCGGAGTGTGCAACTGCTCCAGATAACTTTCAACATCTTGTTGCAGTTTTTGGTGCCAATCTGAAGTTTTGTTTTCTTCTTATTTTTTTAGAGCCAGCTGCTAAGCGAGCATCAGATCCATTCTTTCCCACTCTCTCTCGCTTCGTCTCCTTCTCTCTCTCTCTCTCTCTGTCTCTCTTGCCCAACTAGCGAAAAAAAACTGGGTCAACCAATTTTCTGGCAAAATTGCGACAACAGATGTACGAGATTTCCAAAAAATAAAAATAAAAAATAAAACCAGAGTAAAAGAAACTGCAAAAGATACAAAAGAAGCAAAAGAAGAAAAAGAGACTCGACTTCAAATAAAATCGCATTCAACAGTGCGCCACAAAAGTGCATGTACTCAAGTGCACTTTAAATCGCATAATAATTGAAAATATTTATGTTAAATGCACATAATGAAGTTGCACTCAGCACACACACATACACACACAGTGCATTGTTGTGGCTCATGGTAATTGAATTTAATTTAATTCCTGCAACTAAATTGCAGCCAATCCACTTCTTGTGAGCTTAACTTAAATTAAAAAGATATATACGTGTATATATATACATACTATACACATTAAAAAAAGAATAAAATGAAATGAATCAAGAAAATAAGTAAGTTGGGCATGCTGAACTATGAAATAGTCTTAAACCCAACTGGAAATGCTCGACTGGCACATGTCTGAAATTTCCAATAATATTAAGTTTTCTTTGTATATCTTAGAAATCTCTCTGGGTTTTGCGGTATTTGTGGCTTAAAAATGAAAAACAAAAGGTCGATTTTTATCGATCACAAAGAGAGTTATCGATCAATTTATGATCAATAATGATCAATACTAAATAAATTATCGTTAATGATAATATCATACAACAAAATCACTATCCTCRTATATGGCAACGACTCATCTGATCGTGTTGATTAATGATATAGTGATTTAYTACAAACAATCTACCCTACCTTCCTCACTTTTCAATGGGTATCAAAACCTTAACGCGGTCGCCTAATTGTGCGACAGCAATTCAAATTAACCGAAAAAATATGCACTTGAATCCATGCTGAAGCCATTTATGAGTCGCAGCTTATGCGAGTGTGTGTGTGTGTGGGTAAATGTGGTAATAGACGTCAGTCCGTCAGTCAGACCGTCGGCCCGTCAGCCAGTTGGGCAGTTAGATTGTCAGTCAGCTGCCTCGGGGCTGCCAAGTGACAACGAATTAAAGAAGTAATTTTAGCTGCAATTGCAACAGCTTCGACAAAAAATAGAAAAACTACAAATAGCAATGATTACACTGAGCGAAAAAAATATTATTTTTTTTTTACTTAAATTATTTGCATATATTTTGGAAAATTTATTATTATTTATTAAGAAAATTTATAAGAATGCAAAGGGAACTTTAGGCTTCACTTCCTTTTCGAGTTCAGCTTTATATATGTCATAGTAAAAAAGCTTTAATGTGCTTTTGATTAAATTGATTTTTTTTAACACATTACTGAACTTAAACTTTAAAGTTTCATTTACATCTATTATATGCTTCAGTTATGCAATTCTCAAGTGCTGAAGTTTTCATTAACCGAAACTTTACCATAGTCTATATAAATATATATTTTATTAGTCTATTCGACGGAAACCAACTGGATTTTAGAAAAGTTGCATATTTCTTAAGATTGAATTCATTTATTGTCCCAATCAATCACATGAATATTAAAACCAGTTCTTTTTATTTTATTGCTCTTGTGCTGGTTTTCTTGAACTAGTTCACTCGACTTTCAAAACACTTTTAGCTGTCTTTGGCTATTTTGGCTGGAAAGCTATGAATTTTAAAGCGTTTTGAATATATTCATAGAAAAAGTAAAGTGATAAAGAAAATCAATTCAAATAAATACAAAAATAAAATATAATTATTATTTGTTTATATTTTTTTTGTTTAACTAAAGTTAATTAAAAAAAAAAATGCAATAGCTGACTTGAAACTTGACCGAAAAAGCATTAAACTCAGTTGCTTGAGCATCTAATTAAATCAAATCTTTTTTCAAAGTGCTTTACACACATACGCCCACAAATTCGTTTATAGATCTTTTTTTTCTTTTTTTTGAAACAAAAACAGAGTCAAAAAAGTGATTTTTTTTTCTATGGC